GATATTTCTTCAGGGTTAATGATTCCTATTAGTCACTCACATTTTATTTTAAATTAGTTTGAGGACCCAATGACAGCTGATGGATAAGCTGCCTTGCAGGAATAACATTTTTGATGGTTGAAGATGGAAAGGGAGATGAATTTGGAGCACAGTGTATTGCCAAGGAAAGGCCAGTTTGGGTATGATCAGAGAGCAAGTGTTATGATACCCAGGGCCTGCTAGCTAGGTGTTGAGAGGAATGGATGCAGGAAAGAGAAAAGGGGAAGGCAAAATTAAGATGGTCAATAGTAAAGGCAACTGTTGATCTTTTCTAGAATCATCCTTCATAGTGTTTCTTGTATCCATTTTCTGAGGTGTGCAAATAGGGTCCCTCAAAAGAATCCTCGGAATTTTTTGGGATGTGAGTAGCCTGGGATATCTGCCTCATGCATAGAGTCTGGCTTTGCTCCAGAAATTTTCACCGTGGGTATATTTGTCTCCCCATTGATCTCAGAGTAGCTTCAACAGCCCTTCTTTCTCATCATTTTGTGTGGGCCCCTGAAACTGGGCCTATGACCAAAGAGAATGACATGTCCACAGGGGAGTTCAGGTCTTCAATTAAGGTTGCAATGCGGTCTGAGCTCCTCCCCAAGACCCTCCAAACAGGCACCCAACAGTTAGTCTAAGCCCTTGGAAGAAGTCATTTTTCTACTTCCCTGTGTAGAATAAAGGCACCATTTATTCATCATGTCATCTGGACCACGGCATAAAAAGTGCTTTACGTATGCCATCCTGAATCACTGCAGAAGACCTTATGAAGTAGGTACTGGTTTTTCCCCTTCAAACTATATCTGATGAGTGGGAGGGTGTTTTAGGATTACATCCAACTACAGCTAATAGAAAACATGTCATGCAGTGCCTTAAATAAGGGGTTTATTTTCCTCCTGTCTTGGGGGAGGGGGGGGGGAAAGGCATCTCAGGCCTGATATGGTGGGATTCAGATACCATTAATGCTTCTTTCCAGTATCTCTAGCCTATGGATTTCTCATGTTTATTGCCTGTGGTTACAACTGCTCCACCCTTAGCATTGCATCAGTATTACAGAGAGGAAGAAGAGGAAAGGCTAAAACAGTGGCTTTCACTTGGGTGTGATTTTGTCCCTAAGAGATATTTGGCGACTTCTGGAGATACTTTGGTTGTCACAACCTTGGTGTGTGTGTGTGTGTGTGTGTGTGTGTGTGTGTGTGTGTGTGTGTTGCTACTAGAATCTAGTGTGTAGAAGCCAAAGATGCTGCTAAATCTACAGTGCACAGGACAGTGCTCACAACAAGAATTATCTGGCCTGAAATGTCAGTAGTGCTAAGGCAGAGAAACTGGCATAAAGGCAGAAAGCATATGCCAGGCGAGTCTATCCTGTTTGAAAATGGATTTGTGAAAGTGGACCAAAGACTTTCTTGTATGTCATTGGCCAGAATCTCATCCCACAGCCAACTCTAGCTGCAAAGGAAGCTGCAAATTTTTTTGTTGGGTTCATTATTCCCCCTGATTAGAATTTGGGTAAGATAGTAAGGGAAGGAAAGGAGAATGGTAGATAATAGGCAGTTGTTATGAGCACACTCTTTCCAGAGGCTTGTGTGAATAAGGGATGGGGATACATGCACTGGTTAAGGATAACTGGAATTTTTTATCAACCACAAGTAGGCTAGGAAATATATATATTTTTTTCAGGACATATTATACATCTGCTATCTATTAATGCCACTATTCTCTCAGTATTTGCAATGGGATTTGTCTTTGCTTCTTGTCCATGTAGCATGTGCGACAATTGATTTCAGGCCTGCCTCACTAATACTTTACCCTTCAACAAGTCATTAAACTGTTGGTGCTTCATTGCCTTTATTCTGGAAAAAAAATTAAAAGGTGATGTATTCACTATTTGCCTTAAAGTGTATATCAGTTAGAGTTTATTCAGGAATAGAGATGCCCTTCTAAGTATATGAAGCAGGAAGATACATAATATGGGGAAACATGGGCTTATGCAGCCACTGGGAAGGCTGGGGAGTGAAGAGCAGTCTACCCATGATCTCTGCTGCCCTAACACAAAAGGGGTCTTCTCAGGAGAATGCCTGGAAGCTTCTGACAAAGTGTTGGATTTGCTGTCTGCAGATGTCTTTGTACCTGTCCAGCTACCAACAGTGACTGCTAGTGCTTCTAATTGGCAGAGACTAACATGGAACCGCGCCCATGGAATTTTGGGAGATGTAGTTCCGAAGCTTCTCATGGAAGAATGGAGAATGGGGTGGGATGGGATATGTGGAATTGACAGCAGACTGTCTGGCAGAAGGAGCATTTAAGTTTGAATAAAGACATTCATTTGGCACATATTGGGAAGAAGAGAACTCCATTCAGATTTTGGCAGTGTTGCTACTAGTATTATTACCTTATTCAACCTCTGTGTCCTTGGAAGATGAATAGGAACCATTTCTCTGCTCTGGCTCTGTTCGTTATGGTGATGCTAAAACAAAAGAAAAAAAAAAAGATTCAATGACCTCCATAGCTGGTGCAGAAGATAATATATTCAGTGTCTCTTTATAATGCAGTGGGGGGGTCTCAGAGCATGAGGTTTGCAAAACAATGCATAATTCACCAGTGTGCTGTGGAAAGACCAGTGTTCCGAAAACAATGGTGGATGACTCAGCTTGAACATGTCTTTATTTTGGGGAAAACTGTCTGGAGCTCTTTATTTGCTGTAGGTATGCATGTGCCTTGGGGTGAGCTGATAAAATACAAGGAGGTATTAGATACAATGAGGAAAGTAATGAAACAGTCTTGGAACGTGGTCACCTATAGACAGTGCCGTATTGTTTGGTGTTGAGGAGAGAGTTGTAATCTCTATTTAGCTGGTATCTGGGTCACATCAGGCTCTCAGTGTAACTCACAGGGCTTTGAAGACAGAGTTTGACCTCTGCTATATTTGCATCTCTGGAACAGCAAATTCCATTATAACTGTGTCCTAGGGCACTTGTAAAATCCTTTCTGAGTCCTGAGTTTCAGGTGTCTGCTGCTATTTAACATTTGAATTATCTCCAAGAAGATAAGGAAAATGTACTATCTTAATTCCATTTATATTTTGAGTGAGGCAAATTGAAAGGGAGTGAAGGAAAAAACTCATTACCAAGAGCAGTGTGTAAAGGTTACTGATTTCGCTTTGCTGGAAAAATACTCAGTGTTTTTGGGGTTGCCTGGGGTCTTATCTTGGCAAAGCCAGAGGCAAAGCTGGTGATGAGGATTTTTGTGCAAGTGATTTTTGATTTATTCAGCAGGTGCTCTCAAGAGCAAGCAGCAAGGGAATGAGTGAAGCTAGATAGGGAAGGGTGAGAGATGGGCAAGGCCACATTTCAGGGGAAATCTCAGACAGACTGATCCTTGAGGGAACTCTGGAGCACCAGTTATACCCTGAGGTTTGTCTTGAACTGCAATGGAGCTGCTGGGCTCTCATGTTCCCGCAGTCAGTCAGTCATTAGCTGAGGGCTGCTGGTATGGGGATGTGTTTGGAGACAGATAAACTCCCAGGGACCTTCACGCTCTCAGGGGCTGGCCATTAGAAAGGAAAAAGAGCCCAGCTGGCGTGGCTCAGTGGTTGAGTGTCCACCTATGAACCAGGAGGTCATGGTTTGATTCCCAGTCAGGGCACATGCCCCGGTTGCGGGCTCAATCCCCAGTGTGGGGCGTGCAGAAAGCAGCTGATCATTGATTATCTTTCATCATTGAAGCTTCTAGCTCTCTCTTCCTCTCTGAAATCAATAATAAAAATATATTTTGGAAAAAGAATATAGATGTTGAGGAGGGGATGTACACAAGTACATCCCGGTAGATTTGGAGAAAGCCCCAATAACGTACTTACTCTTTGAATAAACTGCTCTTTTGTCTTTATGAAACCCAGAGTCTGAGGAGAGGAGAGAGAAAAATGTTCACTTGCAAATGCAAGGGTTGGAAAACCTTTTCTATAAAGGGCCAGGTAGTATTATTTGAGGGTTTGTGGGCCACAGAGTTTCTGTTCCAACTAGTCAACAACATCACTACAGTGCAACACCAGTCATAGATTACATGTAAATGAGTGGGCATGGCAGTGTCACAATAAAACTTTATTTATAAAAGCAGGTGTGAGGGAGGGAGGAATAGATTTGGCCTAGGAGCCATAGTTTGTCTGTTCCTCCTGTGGAGGTTCATTGTATGTGCCTAAGGTGATTGATTTATCCATTCTGTATATGCTGCGAAACACAGGGAATAATTAGGATGGCTGTCCAAAGGATGGTTATAATGCATTCTAAACGAGGCTGGACCCTCTACCTCCAATCTTGCACCATTTACAATTTTGCACGGATAACCTTGCTGAAGTGTGGCTTCTCTCATTTCACTCCTGCTAAAAATATTTAGTCCTCTGTTATCTGTAAAATAAAATCTAGATTCTTTAGCATAGCGTTCGGGAATCCCTGTGATCTAGTTCCAGCTGGTTATTCTGTACTGTTCTCTGCTTCCCGCCCATGTGCTTCCTGGTCCAAGTATAGCAGCTACTCACCATCCCTCCTACATGCCCTTTGTTTCCATCTCCCTGACTTTCCCCCCGCTGCTTCCGCTCCTGGAGTGCCCTTCTGCTCGGCTCTGCAATTTGAAATCCCAACCATTCTATTAAGAGTCAGTTTGGCCCCTGCTCCATTAAGCATTCTCCCCATGTGGAAGTAATCTCTGCTCTGGACTTCGATAACAATAGTGTCTATTTTTATTAAAACCTTTATTTTATTTATGTTATACATACAGCTATTTGCTACATTCACTATAGTTTCTTTTTTGGTGCTTTAGGGCAGTGACTAACAATTTTTTTGTGTCCTTCACAGTGGGTTGCATACAGTATGTATTCTGTGAATGTAGTTTTCAGGTGAAGGTTGCATTCCTATGTTCTGTGATTATTAATGGTTTAAGTGCTGAAACGCTGACATACATTTTCTTTTTCCTTTCTATAGGCAAGAGCTGTTTTGTCAAAAGTTGGCTATCCTGAGTTTATAATGAATGATACTTATGTTAATGAAGACCTCAAAGCAGTAAGTGCTAAATTTACTGTATTTTTTTCCCCTCTGGCAAGTTTTACTGGCCTCATGCCTTTCAGCTAACCCAGGTCCAAGCAGTTAAACCTGGTAGTGCCAGAGAGCACCAACTTTTTATTCATTCGCTGGCTAGAAATGAGCCTTAATATTCAGGCATATCACAAGATTTAGAACAGCTTCAAAATAAGGAAGTGTCAGAAAGAACATATAGCTGAGTAGGTACCATGAAGCAAAAACGCTTGGATTTGGTCTAATTTAATCATTAAGGAAAGAATGAAGCAAATTGAGTATTTTGCAATCAGTGGGTATGTTCTTATGGTGAATGTATGATATTCGTTGTTAATCTTTATGTGCTTCATTCATATTAAATTACTAGTAATAAATCTGCCAGCTCGGAGTTAACTTCATTAAACTTTGTGAGTGTTTTTGCAAATTAAGTGAGTATACATATGACTATAATTTATTGTGACTTGGACTGTATTCAGTAGTTAGTGATAGAGGAATACTAATAATTCTTTTTTATTCCAATATTTTGGGACATGTATTTTCCAATAGATGTATTCACTACAGGTATTTCTAATCACAAACAATGTTATTTCCTTTTCTTTAAATACTTCTGATAAAGAATAGCGATTCCTTACAAAACTTCTATTTGAACCATTCACTGGATTTTCTTGAAAAAGTACTTTTTTTTGGAATTATTTAAATAACTGGTTCTGAGGTATAGCTCTTTCCTGAAATTGAGGTTTGACAAGTTGTATATCTGAAAGCAATTCCAGCTTTGTAGATGAATGTCAGAATTCTGTAAGATTATTCATAAGTGAGAGAAGGCTTTAATTAGAGAGTTTTTCCATTGGGCTCTAATATATGCCTTTCCAAGTATTGATCTAGTTGCCATGGAGGAAAATAATTATGCTTCACAGTATCCCAAAGTTCAGACACCTATCTTATTCTACATTGTTTTGATGCTGAAAAAGCTCGCAGTTATTATGATAATTAAAAAGACTAATGTACTTGACACATTCGTTTACGTTATCTTTTAAGCATCATAGTGATCCTCTGAAGTACATGGTGCTCAGCCCCATTTCGTAGGAAAGGAAGTAGAGACTCAAAGGAGTTAAACGATTTCCTCAGTCCACACAGAGCAGTGGTCGGCAAATTGCGGCTCCTGAGCCACATGTGGCTCTTTGGCCCCTTGAGTGTGGCTCTTCCACAGAATACCACATGCTAGCGTGCATGTACAGTGCGGTTGAAACTTCATGGCTCATGCGCAGAAGTCGGTTTTTGGCTCTCAAAAGAAATTTCAGTCATTGCACTGTTGATATTTGGCTCTGTTGAGTTTGCCTACCACTGGCACAGAATATCAAAGCCAGGACTGAAATCTGGGCCTACGAAGCTCTGCCTGTAATCTGAAAGGGGGTTCTGCAGGGCCCTTGTCAGGGGGCCGTGCTGGAGGGACAGAGGGGTGGATTTGGAGAATTGATGGGAGCTGCTTGCTGGTTGGAAGGGCGGAGAGAAGAAGGAAGGTCATCTTGTCCAGTTGTAATAGCGCAGGCTTTCGAGTGGTTCTGCCTCTTCCACTTACTAGTTTGGTTTTGTATAGCTTGCATAACTTCATTTAGCTTCCTTTGGTTATGTGGATATTGGAGATGATAATAACCAAGTCTTAGTATTTCTGGGATTCTTAAGGGAGATTAAATAAATGTAAAAGCACCTACCATAATGACTGCACATAAGTAGGCTCCCTATGAATGGTAGCTGTTACTTTGTGGGTTAGTATGAGAACTGTTGCTGCTATGAAGAACATCACCAGGGCACAAAGTACTTTGCAGGAGAACCTGTACAATTACATGCGATCGGCAAATATTCCGAAGGTTTGAGAGGCAGTTTGGTTATGGTGAAGTGGTCTACCGTTTCATAGCTATGTGAACTAGGATCTCTGTGCTTAAGTTTCCTCATGTCAACAACCTATATAATAAAGAGCTAATATGCTAGTTAGACCAGAAGGTGGACAGACCTTCCAAATGACCAGTGGGTGGGGGCAGGGCCATGAGACAGCCAGGACCACAAGGCAGAGGGGGCTGGAAAGGCCTACTCTTGCACAGATTTCGTGCATCTGGCTCTAGTGGAGATAATAATAATCCCTCCCTTATAAAGCTGCTGTGGGGATCAGATAAGTTAACATATTTAAAGTATTGAGAACTGATCCTGGTGTACAATAAGCACAATATAAAAGTTAATTATGACATCTTCGGCTTGCACTTATGATAGTAAATTATTTTTGTTTGGAAAAGTCATTGTGAATTAACTCATCTAGTATCCAGGTATCCCAATTAATTGAAAAGGCTGAACAAATGGAGCAGTCTCAAGCTTTAATCAAATAAGGTAGTATTTAGGGCCCACTCACACTATTTAGTTGATCATATTTCGTTGGCAGTGTGCTGCTATTTAAAGTCAGTGTGCCACATGTTTTGACTCACCGAATATGGTACCTTTTGTAAAAAGAAACCAGATGCTGAACAGGATGCATTGTTGGGCATTTTCCCTCATTTCTTCAAGGTCTGAGCAGAAGCCATTAGAAACCAAGATTTTTAAGCACTTTTGCGAAGAAATGGTTTTTGTGTAGCTCATTGCCGAGGCAGACACATTGGCCAGGCTGGCATGGCTCAGTGGCTTAGCCCCCTAGTGGGGGGTGCAGGATGCAGCCTATCAATGAGTCCCTCTCATCATTAATGTTTCTATCTTTCTCTCCCTCTCCCTTCCTCTATGAAATCAATAAAAACATTTTTAATAAGCAGACACACTTACACCCAAGAGTTTATAACACTTTAAAAACCAGACAGTGAAAAAATTCAAATATATGAAAATAAAATACATTTGTGTTTGGAAACTGATAGAGAATACGAATAGAATGCAACTTGAAAAAAAAAGAAAGAAAATAGTAAAGGATGCTTGCTTGATGTGATAGCAATAGTGTCACTGATGTTAATAGCAAAAGGACTAAAGTATTGCAGGTACACAATGGGACTGTATTTTCAGTTTGGAGAAATATGGAGATAAGAACTACTATAGGGCCTATAAGAAATGTCTGGTTATACAAGCTCTGAGCAAGAGAGACGCTTTTAGAAATGAAAAACAGCTTAGTTTATTTGACACAAGTGAAGATATAATTTACCAGGTACAAACATAAAAGGAAAGAGGATAGACATTGGGTAATGGATTATATGAAGGTCAAGGAGAAAGGCTCAAAACTGAAATTGGGCCTGCACTGAGATAAGAGCAAATGAGTAAGAACTTAGAGGCAAATGTAAAGAATTAGAGAAAATTTGTCCCCCTCACCCCAACCTTTGAGGAAGAGAAGATAAATTGATACACCCACTTGTTTCTGAATAATAACCTTTTTGTAGTCTTTGAGAAGAGCAAGAATGAAGGAAATGTCCTCTATGTGAACCCCCAGTACCATACAGGAAAGCCTACTAGTTAGCCAAAAAAGGTAGGTGTAAGTACATTTTCAAATTAGCCTTACTAACTGGTCCTTTATTGCTCCTTGGTGGAAATAGACTCAAGACTGGTATGATATCGACCTTGGAAAGATTATGGTATCATCAAGAAAAGCCCAGACCACACTAGGTATTTCAAAGAGAGGAGATTTCATACAGGAGATAGTTGGGAAGGCAAAAATCAGGAAGGTGAAGTAGACCAGAGATAATAACTTCAGGAAGCTACTACCACCCTGTATCTAGGGGCGCAAAAGGGAGGAAGTGATGGTACCATCATTTAGGAGAAAGGGAGGAGGAGCTGCCAGTTTAGCTGGGTCTGTGAGGAGGAGATGAAGATTCGTCTACAGTCAATGTTAGAAAAAGAAAGAGGAGAGAAAGAATGAAAGAGATCAAACACAGAATTCTTTCTCCTCCTGCCACCTGCTGATGTACCCCAGTCCTTCCTTTCGGCAGGGAGCTAACTGGCATTGGAGCCTGGGAAACATAGTTTTCAGATGCCCAGCCCCAGCATTCTAGAACAGAGTAAAAGTGTGGGCATGTATCTGAGAGACAATAAGTAAGTAATCGGCACCATTAGGCACTTGAAAGCTAGCAGAGAATTGTAGTAGGGACTAAAGTTAGAATCACAGCTGACATCCATTTACTTAGGAGAATTGGACATGGGTAACTTAAAAAATACGTTTTTCTATTGATTTTTAGAGAGAGTGGAAGGGAGAGGGAGAGAAACACAGATGTGAGAGCAAAACATCAATCAAATGCCTCCTACATGCCCCTTATCAGCCCTCAGCCTGGGCATGTGCCCTGAACGGGAATTGAACCAGTAACTTTTGGTGTATTGTTCAGGATAATGCCAACCAACTGAGACATCTCAGTCAGGGCTGGGTATGGGTAAATTTTCAGAAAAGGTCAATGTTTCTGGTGAATGATACAAACACACATACAAACATAAACATACATATAGAGATGTATAGGTATTTTGTGAACCCACATAATATTCTCTAGAGTGGGTCTTGGTCTGCTATGGCCAGTGGAGCACTCATATATATGTGGTGTGTGTGTATAAATGTACAAATATTTATATGTGTTGTGTGTTTTATGTGTGTATAAACGATGGAGAGTGCTACTGCCACTATGCAAGAGTGAGGCAATATTTAGGTGGAATGTTCCAGAAAGAGGTTGTTAAAACTTTGAAATACCTCTGTACTATTTAGTAGAAGATCAAAATAAAACATTGCCCTCAGTCCTCCCAAGTGATCTCTGGCCATCATGGCCCTGGAGAGCCAAGAGTGGACATAGAAAGGGGGTGTCCACCAACCTTCCAGCCAGCCCTCTGTAACCCCCACACCCTAGCTTTCATGTAGAGTGCTCCACTGGCCAGAGCAGACCAACACCTCCCTTTAGCCCTGGTGGTGGCGACAGGGCATCTGGTGCCACCTAGTTCCTGTTCGGTGTGCTACCTGCTGCTACCCCACCTTTATGTGGCTGCTTGTGGGAACTGCATCTTCTGCAGTGTACCGTATATTGAAGGTTGTTAAACATTTTGAATGTAGGTGTGTACACACATGTACACACAGGCATACTACTGTGGACAAAGCCATCTAAATCAAACAACCTTGCATATTGCTTTCCTATTTAAATAAGGGAAAGCATAAATAAAAAGTCAGGATGCATTAAGTATTCAGAAAGTTCTATTATAATATAAAATCTTGCTTATATATATTTGGATATATCTCCGAGTCTCTTTAAATGGATTTGACATAAACAAAAAGTATTCTAGAATCTATATACTTTCTATTGACTTATGTAGTGTTCAATCAACATGTACTTAGTGATTCTGCAGAGAAGCTAAACACACTTGCTCAGCCCTTACTACATCTTCTTCACCTTTGGTGTGTTGGGAGGTAGCTTTATTCTCCTATTTAGTCTGTGGCATTTGGTGAGAAATTCAGATTCCACTAAATTTTATGATCTGGATAGCTATTCTTAGGAAAGGACAGAAGAGCCCCAATTAATTTTGCAAAGGTCGCTCAATTGAAAAGTCAGGCGATGGAATTGATTAAAAGTCATTACCAACTTGACCTAGATTTTCACCAGTAACTATAAGGACAAGAAGCTGTTCAGCCAACTATTGTCCCTTGCAGAATTTAAACATTTTTTGAAGATTACACGTGGTTTTAAAATATTCATGTGCATTCATTCTTGTTACTATCTCTACAAGTGGAACTTGTCCAGTGGTTGCTGAGTTGCATTGTTGTTTCTTACCCAAGGACCTGTTAAAATATTTGAAATTATCAAAGTATTCTCACATGGTGGAAATTTGGGAACTAGAGAAAAGGAATGAGATAGTACCCGTGATGTTGGTACTCAAATGTGCTAATACATAATTTCGTTTTAGTGTCTTCTTTCTATTTTGATAGCTGCAATTGATGTTAATGTACAATTTTGTATACCGACCTTTATTATTTTGTCCTTGTATTGTGTAGCCTCCATTACCATTATTTTAACAGCTGCATATATTAAGTAAACTAAACTGTAACATGATTTATTTAATCATTGCTTCTCTTACTGTAATTTTTACCTTTTCCTCCTTATTCTCTGTACTCCTTATGTTAAATCACTGGTTTTCTTAGTAAGACTAATGAAAATAACAATGAAGTAGGACCCTAATGCTCTGGACTGTGTGGCTTTGCTAAGTTGCATAATTTCTCTAACTGTATCCTATCTATCACAAGATAATATTTATAGCTGACCTTTTTCTACCCCCACACTTAACCTGTCTCACAAGAAAAAGTAAAATTTGTCTCTTATCACCTGTAACCTCCATTAAATAAATGGAATAGATAAACTAAATCAAGCTAATAGCAAATATTCATTTAATAAAACATATTTTAAATTGTTCTTCTAAACATAGATGATAAGCTGTTGACAAACTACTTACCTCTGAGTTTTGGTCCTCATGGTTATTTTCATGGATGTGGTGTAGGACCTTACTTAAAAGTATTTTTAGACATGGGACTCTTCTTTAGGAAACTTTTGGTTGGTTTTCTTTTGGTATCTGTAGAACAACCTGAATGTTAAGGGTTTTTTTTTCCTTCAAATGACCAGGATAATCTCACAAATAGTAAACTCTTCTAAAAGTAACAACTGATTCTATTGATATTACCAAAAATGTTAATATTTTTAAAAAATATGTATTTATTGATTTTTTTAGAGAGAGAGAAGAGGGGTGGGGGGAGAGAAACATCAATGTGAGAGAGAAACATCGATCAGTTGCCTCCCATATGCACCCACAACTTGGGCATGTGCCCTTAATGGGAATTGAACCGTTAACCCTTTGGTGCACAGGATGTAGCTCCAACCAACTGATCACCCTGCCAGGGCAAAAAGTTAATATTTTTGATGGAAATTCCTTTGGGAGAATTTCCTGGAAATTGTTCTGAACACAAGAATGTATCTGAATTATCTGTTACAGTCATATTCTGAGAGTTCTGGCAGAACTATCTTGGGAACAAAACTGAAAAAAGCTAAGGGTTGAATAGTGGACACATTTTTAAAACTTGGAATACATTAGAATTATTAGATGAGGTTGCTTCCTAAAACAAGGTGCTTACTCTGTTTCTTCTGAGGCTGAGTACGAATATCTACCTTAAAATACAATTTATTATAAGATTTATTTTTAATATGAAGAATCACAAACATTGGGAAAGTAGGTAAAATCATATTTTGAACAAATAGCTTTAACAAATGTTAAACATATTGCCATATTAACTTTATACATGCACACATATATTTTATTTTATTTATTTAATTTAAAAAAATATATTTTATTGATTTTTTACAGAGAGGAAGGGAGAGAGATAGAGAGCTAGAAACGTCGATGAGAGAGAAACATCGACCAGCTGCCTCTTGCACACCCCCTACCGGGGATGTGCCCACAACCAATGTACATGCCCTTGACCGGAATCGAACCTGAGATCTTTCAGTCTGCAGACCGATGCTCTACCACTGAGCCAAACCGATTTCAGCGCACACACATATTTTAAATGAATAAAACATATATTGGAAATTCTTTGTACATTTGTCATTGACCTAATATCCTTCTCCCCTGCCTTCCTCTTCCCTAGGTATAATCACTATTTTAAATTCAGTGTTTATCATTTCCTTGCATTTCTTTATGCTTTTGCTAAAGATAGGTACATATCTGTAAGCAAAATGCATTATTGTTTTACATGTTATAAAATTTTAAATTCTTTCAGACATATAATTTATCTTACTCAGCATTGCTTTTTAGATGATTTCATATTCATGCATACAAGCCATTTGTTTAAACTGCTGTATTGTTTCCATTATGTGATTATACCACAATTTATTGATTTATCAGCTACCCCCCATAAGAGGATTGATGGAGGGACAACTAAAAGTTATATCTTTACTAGAGGCCCATTGCATTGAAGAATCGTGCAATAGGCCTTCCTTCCCCTGGCTGCCACCACTGGTTTTCTCTGGTACCCAGGACCCAGGCCTTTGCTCTGGCCACCACCTTCCCTCTTAGATCAGGCCAGAGCCTTCAGTCTTCTTCGCTCTGGCTAGAACATTGCTCCTCTAGCTCCCTCTGCCCTTTGACTTCTCCCTCATAGCAGGCGTCTCATCCCACCTGGCCATTCCCTGCCTGTGCATACAAATTAACCCACTAGCTTTGTTGGGTTAATTTGCATGCTCACTTCTGATTGGCTGGTGGGAGTTGCAGAGGTACAGTCAATTTGCATAATTCTCTTTTATTAGTGTAGATAACTGGTCGGTCAAGTAGAACACCAAGGATGCCAGACTTTGATCCTTTCATTCCTGCCTTTTCTACTGGTGTTTTTAGTTATTTACTCCTTTATTTTGATTTTGGCCTGGCCCCCTGGAAAGACTAAGCTGGATCACTAACAAAGTTACTCTATAGACATAATGGGTACCCACTATATGTTAGGGTAGAGATAAACCTAAGCCAGACATTGGCCAACAAATAGGCCGCTGTCAAGTCTGTAATCATCAAGTTGTAAATATACATTTATATCTGTACTGTAATCCCTGTGGGTTTTCTGTACATTCACTTGCTGCACTTTAATTTTTACCTATAAAAGAGTTTCATGGTTTAAATTTACAAAATACTACAATTAATAAGAATTTAATTCTCTTGATTATTTGCTTATTACTATATATATATTTAATATAATATTATATATTAAAACCAAAGCATTAGAGGTCATTAAAACCATAGCTTTTACTTTTACACAGATATTATTTGCAATATTTTAACTAAATACTGCTAATTTTATGTAGAGAGTGCCTATAGAATTGAAACTGCCTGCCATTTTCCTTTCAAAAAAGAAATGGTAACTCAAGAATCAATTATGTCTGTTTCTCTATTTTATTAGAGAAACAACTTTTTGTTTCTCCATGCAAGCTATAATCTATGACTTGCCTTTGTAATTTCATTAATTTTTGGTGACCAGTATATTTTTGGGTGTTAATAAATAAATTCTATTAATAATTAAATTGTCCTTGTGACTCAGTTGTGCTTGTGGTGGAAAATAAGTCTCGGAATAGCTTTTATTTTTTCCATTCATGAGCAAATGTCGAATACAGTAAATTAGATTGAACATTGGACTAAAATAATCATCTATAAGCTAAATGAGGTTTCAGGTGACAAAACTGAATGTTATTAGAAGAAACCTATGTGACAAAAAATAAGATACACATTTTAGAAAAGTTCAAAGAATCATGTGGGCCAAGAAATTTCAAACTTAAGATAATACGTTCTGTAAGGGTTAAAGTAGATTTCTCAATTATAAAGCAAAGGAAACACATTGTAAATTATTGCGGCTTGCCTTGTTTTTTTTTTTTTTTTTTCCTCACTGTGATCCAGAAATGACCATATTGATTTTTGTGCTTTTTATTTTAAAAGAAAATCACTGAGATGAAATTTTCATGGCTTTGTGAATACTTTGTTAACTGATGGTGGTTAGAGTGCAGCTTCTGTTGATCATTCATTTGTGTGCTGAAGTCTTTTTTTTTTCAGAGCCACCTCTTATCTGCACTTAGAACAATGATCCTTATGGTTTGTTTTATGCAGATCAAGTTTTCAGAATCTGACTACTTTGGCAACGTCCTGCAAACGCGCAAGTATTTAGCACAGTCTGATTTCTTCTGGCTGAGAAAAGCTGTTCCAAAAACAGAGTGAGTAAAAAAAAGAAAAAGAAGTGAAATAGATAAATAATATTGGTGGGAAGAGGAGTCTCTTTGGACCAGACTTTGTAATTCCCCTCAAGTCAGAGTAACTGGCTTGCCAGTTATCTTGCTTTGGCAAAATCTGTGTTATGTTTTGGCAGCTCTTATTTCTGCTATTATATGAATCACTTGTTCAGTTTAATTGTGGCTCTTTCACTCCTAGCATCAATGCATATCAAAAGAAGGCTTATTAGGGTTTATTAGGATGCCAGCATTTAAAGCACTTCTAGATCTTGTTATATATAACATATATGATAAATTTCTCTAGAATGTCACATTCAGGTAGGAACCTTTAAAGATTTTAAAGAACAAATATTAAAAAAATAAAGTAGGATTACAAATGTATTAGGTCTAGTAATAATTAATGTCGTTTTCTAAGACCTTTTTTAAATCGAATTTATTTAAACAATACAACAAAATTTAATTAACAATATAGTTGCCGTTGTTTTCTACTACTTGTGCCCAACACTCAGGAAGCATTTTAATCCCTCTGTTGTAAAATTCTTGTGATTTTGATGCAAAAAATTCAGTCAATACATTTTTGAGGCATTCTTCATTATTAAATTTTTTTCCAAGAAGAAAGTTTTGCAAAGAACGAAACAAATGGTAATCGGAAGGGGCAATATCAGGAGAATATGCAGGTTGAGGGAGAACTTCCCATTCCAACTGGCGCAGTTTTTCAGCAGTGATTCTTGCAGTATGCGGTCGTGCGTTATCGTGGTGAAGAATTACGCCCTTCCGATTAATCAGCGCGGGTTCTTTTTCTCTTAAAGCTTGGGCTAACCTTTCCAATTGGGCACTATACACTGCACTTGTAATGGTTTGGTTAGATGGTAACAGTTCATAATGAAGAATTCCTTTAAAATTCCACCAAACACACAACATCACTTTTTTCGCATGCAAGTCAGGTTTTGGCGTGGGCTGTGGAGCCTCATTTTTGTCCAACCATTGAGGCCGCCTTTTCAAATTAACATACAGCACCCATTTTTCAGCTCTGGTAACAATTTGCTCTAAAAACGGCAAACGGTTTTGACGAGAGAGGAGCGAACTGCAAATTGTGACTCTTTGATTACGGTTGTTGCGGGTCAACTCATGAGGAACCCATTTTCCAAACTTTTGGACTTTGCCAAGTGCACGCAATTGATTGGAAATTGTTTTTTTGTGAACAGTTTAAAGTTGTCGCAAGCTCTTGTTGGGTAATTTGAGGATTTTGCACCAAAAGAGCTTGAAGAGCTTCTTGATCAAAATTGGACACATGGCCTCGACCACTCTTGTCATCTAACGAAAAATTTCCCTCGTGAAATTTCTCAAACCAACGCTGGCATTTTCTGGCGCTAATGCATCTTGACCAAGAGCACTACAGATGTTTTTTGCAGCCTCACTTGCTTTTCTTCCTAATTGGAACTCGTAAAGCATGCAGTGCCGAATATGCTCTTCATCCGCCATCTTCTTAGCCCTAGTTTTGCAACAAAAACCAAACCAAACCAAACACAAACTTTTTCAAGCAAAACTTGTTAATTGCACTTCACACGTTCTGTAGATACCACGTGTTTGAAGGTTATGTCAATACAAGTCAACGCCAAGCAAGATTTTAAACGAATGTTTAAAAACGACACTAATTATTACTAGACCCGATAGAAGTAATTGTATAATTAGTAAGTAACTAGAGGATATTTGATAAGATAATGAGTGCCAAAGAATTGATAGCTCATTTCCTCCCAATAGTAGTTAATGATTCATCTCCTTTCTTTCCAGTTGCCTGTACGTATTGTCCCTGAAGATAAGAAAGTTTGCTTAGGAACTTTTGGGCTAGGGCTAGCCTTGATATTTTCCCCCTAACAAAATGTGTGTGATGATGATGACAGCAAGTAACAATTATGTGCTTACAGTATGCCAGGAAGTGCTGTACATGTTTTATTTATTTGAAAAATATATTTTATTGATTTTTTACAGGGAAGAGGGGAGAGGGATAGAGAGTTAGAAACATTGATGAGAGAGAAACATGGATCAGCTGCCTCCTACACACCCCCTACTGCGGATGTGCCCCCAACCAAGGTACATGCCCTTGACTGGAATCGAACCTGAGACCCTTCAGTCCGCTGGCCAACGCTCTACCCACCCAGCCAAACCGGCTAGGGCGCTGTATATGTTTTAATTCATTTTATCCTCTTGTCAATTCTGTGAGATCTAAGTACTAGTTATTATCCCATTTTACAAATGAATAAGAGGCTTACAATTGAGACTCCCTTCTGCTCAGGTTTAGATGACTTTTTGTTCATTCTTGCTAGCACTTTTGACTCTGATCTGCTATGGCCCACTTCTCCAATGTGTTTATCTCTCTGTTCTCCAGATTGGATCATTTCTATTGCTCTAGCTTCAAATTCACTGATTCTTTCTTGTGCATTCTCAGATTTGCTGTTGACTCACCTAACATATTTTTCATTTTGGTTATTGAATTTTTCTTTCCATATGGATGCCTTTTATAGTTTTTGTTTCTCTGTTGTGATTATTTCTTGAATCATTATCATAATATTTTCCATTAATTCTTTGAATATAGCTTATTTTATTTCTTTGAACTAATTTATAATGGCTGTTTTCAAATTTTTGTCTGCTAAATACACTGGGATCATTTTGAATCAATTTTTATTGATTCTTTTTTATTGGCTTTATACTTTTTCGTTGAATAGCATATTTTGTCATATTGAAAATGTCATTTTATTTTTTAAAATCTTCATTGTTGAAAGTGTGAGAATGACATTTCATATATTCTAGCAACTGTGGATTCTGATTTTTCTGAGACTTTTTAAAAAGTGATGTTCCTGGACTTACACTACAGAATCCGTGTCCCCTATGATATGCAGCTGTGGAGGTCTCTGCCTATTTTTTAAATTCTTTTTTAAAATTTATTAGCCTCACTTCCTAGAGTTTGTCCTTGTATCTGCATAGTTTAGTGCTCAGACAATCAGGGCTGGGCTTTACTAAAACTCTTCTAGCCAGTAGGACTTTTACCCTCTGCCAGTTGGTCTGTGGTGGGAGTTGGGAGTGCATTCAAAGTTACAACCTGCCTCAGATTTTACTTCCCACTGGGCACTCTCTGCTGTCCCCTCTATGTGTTTCTGGTTTCCCAGCCAGCCAGGGATGTGTGGAGAGCTTATCTCACCCTTCTAAGATTCTTAGTTCCAGGATCTTACTATTAAATTTCTGGCTGGTCCATTGCTCTCCCCAATGGGAATTATAATTTCAGGCTAGCAAAGCTATGGGTCTTCCTCATTTATTTTTTTAACAAGTTCAACAGTTTGAGCTGACAGAGCTGCAAGTTTTCACTCCCACTCCTAAATGAGTCCGCCCCCTGTGGCAAAAAGCTGCTGATTGTCCAGCCAGCCCTATCCTAATAAAAGTAAATTCTCATGGACCGAGCTGGGAGGGATGGGAGCAGTCCTCGGCTAGGCTATAGACTTCTGTTCTATTTACTTCCAGCTCTAGCAGTTTTTCCTAAATTAAACCTTTTTTTTTTTTCCAATTTGTTGTTTGCCTTTGATCAATTCCCAGAGCCCCCAAATGGTTGTTTGTTAACAACTTTGTCCAAGTGATTTTTGTGGAAAGATTTGTTGACCTTCTCATACATCATAGCTGGAAGCCTGGCTTCCATGCCCACCTTTTTTTTCATGGCCCATTTTTTAAACCTGTCGTATATTCTGGTCTCCAGGTTTTTGGCTGCCTCTTTTTATGCTCTCTGGGTCTCTTGTTATTCTTCCTTCCAACTCCCTGCTCTCTTCTGGCCTCTAGGTCCCATACCACCCCTTGCCGTAAGCTGTGATTACCACCTCTCCCTCTTAGCTGTGATTCCCATCTAGCCATTCCTGCCTCCTGCCATTCAAACCTTCCTATAACACGCACCTACATAGTTAGCGGAAACTTTGACTTCAGGAGTAGGCCTAAAGCTGAATCACTCCCTTACCCATCCCTGACGCCTATCAAAAGCACAAAGAAAGAAAGCAGAAGGCCAGAGCTTCTTTGGATATGACAGATAGATGATTTAAAGCCATCTGCTCTACTGCCCTTGGTTTTCTCCTCATTATAGTATCGCTTAGTCTATCTTACTTCATTCCCAACCTAAATAATTTATGAGTAATTTTACCTTTAGGGTTCTAAAACTAGCTCCTCAAATCCAATGACTTCAGCAAATGGTTTCCAATATCCCAATGAGCATCTACATGTAGTTGGTAGTCACAGATCTGTGAATATCATCCTGTCCTTTCAGATCTACTTCATATCAACTCAAACTCTTTTTTTCCAACTTGTGGAAAATGCAAGACTCTTGCCCGTCTTTCTGTGAAATTTCTGGGTCTTCTCAGAGACTCCTTTGTAGTGGAGATGCTGCCAAGTTAACTGCTCAGTTTCAAAATGGCATTATTCATTTGGGTGTATAGCAAAGGCTGGGTTGCTATTTGAAGAACTCCTATCTGTGTCATCTTTAACATCATCCTAAAATACATCAGGTTCTAAAAGCCTTGACTATTTCTAATTTTTTGTTTGCTGACTTTGTGGGCTTAGAAAAACTGTGATTTGGCTAAGTTTTATTCTCCATCACAAATAACTATTTCAGAAGGACATTGCATTGGTTAATATTTCTGGAAAGTTCTTCAGGAATGAAAATCAGCCCAATGCTAGTAATTCTTGTTTTCTCTGATTATATGTCTATTTCAGGGAAAGCAACATTAAGAAATTTAAGGTCCCTTTTACATGATAAGGTGATGCGATAGTTAATTTTTTAAAAGAAATGTTGGGCCAGTCCTATTCTGGCATGGTAGATAATTTTAGCTTTATGATACCCATTGGCTTTAATAGACATCTTTTAGGTCTAAAAATTCACGAGTTAATCGAGTGAGGATGATTGTGGAGTATCTCCACTACGCTAGTTTACTTGGTTCAGCACATCATGATTATAT